GGAACGACACACTGGTTCCAAATAGGAAAAGGAGTACGTCAAGGCTGTATATTGTCACCCTGCTTACTTAACTTATATGCAGAGTACATCATGAGAAACGCTGGGCTGGAGGAAGCACAAGCTGGAATCAAGATTGCCAGGAGAAATATAAATAACCTCAGATATGCAGATGACACCACCCTTATGGTAGAAAGTGAAGAGGAACTAAAGAGCCTCTTGATGAAAGTGAAAGAGGAGAGTGAAAAAGTTGGCTTAAAAAACAGAAAAAGAGACACAGATGNTGATGCTTTTGAACTGTGGTGTTGGAGAAGACTCTTGAGAGTCCCTTGGACTGCAAGGAGATCCAACCAGTCCATCCTGAAGGAGATAAGCCCTGGGTGTTCATTGGAAGGACTGATGCTGAAGCTGAAACTCCAATACTTTGGCCACCTCATACGAAGGGTTGACTCATTGGAAAAGACCCTGATGCTGGGAGGGATTGGGGGCAGGAGGAGGAGGGGATGACAGAGGATGAGATGGCTGGATGGCATCACCAACTGGATGGGCATGAATCTGAGTAAACTCCGGGAGTTTGTGATGGACAGGGAGGCCTGGTATGCTGTGATTCATGGGGTCACAAAGAGTCGGACGCGACTGAGCGACTGAACTGAACTGAACTGAACTGTGAGGGGGAGTGGCCTAGAAAGAGGATGGGTGGAATTAGACTTAGCTTTTCCTTTTTGTATCATGAAGTTCACCTTTGGTCTCATATTGCTTCTCCCTCTCAACCATCCAAAAGCTTCCAGTTAATCAGCCCCATCCTTCTTTTAAAGGGAATTAAGGACTATCTGTTGTTATCCAGGCGTGTCCCTTAGAGATCTTCGTATAGACCCCTTATACACTCAGAGTCATTTAAATAAGAAAGATTTCCAGGTACCTGTTATTGATGAAGATAAGTCTGAGAGCTTTGAAATATTACTTTAATAAATACCATTGATTATATAAACTACTTTCGACTTACATTGTAGCAATTTTTCTAGTTTCATTTTAATAATAATCTCCCTTTTGACATTGATCTGCTATGCTACTTGTATGATCTTTCAAAATTACATGTGTGTTGGTCTTTTTATGGGTTTTCCAATCTTAACATTTGTGAGTTTGTTTACTTTTGCTTTAATACACTCTTGTCTTAACTATTGAAGTTTTATCATAAATCCTGATATATGCTGAGATAAACTCTTTCTTGGCTGTCTTTAGACATGTCCTGATTATTGTTGACTTTTTATACTCCCATAGAAGTTTAAAAATCAGCCTCATTCCAAGTCTGGTTAAGTCTTTGATTGGAGTTGCATTGAGTCTATAAGCAATTTGGGATGAATTGACTTCTTTGTATGTTTCTATCACAAACATGATGTCTACAAGTCTTTCTTGAATGTTTCTCAGTGGAATTTTAATTTGTTAATAGTTTTTTTTTTAAATTATTTGGCTGCACCAGGTCTCAGTTGCAGTATGTGGGGTCTAGGTCCCTGACCAAGGATGGAACTTGAGCCCTCTGCATTGGGAGCACAGAGTCTTAGACACTGGACTGCCTCAGTGGAATTTTGTGATTATTTTTTTGCTCTTAGGCCTTATACACCTTTGGTTAGATTTATTCCTAAATATTTTACAGTGTTACTTGCTATGTTAATATCTTTATTTAAAAAATTACATTTTCTTATTATTTGCTACTATATAGAAATACAGGGATTTTCCAGGTGGTGCTAGTGGAAAAGAACCTTCCTGCCAATGCAGGAGACATAAGACCCAGGTTTGATCCCTGGGTCAGGAAGATCCCTTGCAGAAGGGCATGGTGACCCATTCCAGTATTCTTACCTGGAGAATCCCATGGACAGAGGAACCTGGCGGGCTACAGTCCATAAGTTTGCAAAGAGTCAGACATGACTGAAGCGACTTACCATGGAGGACATAGAAATACAATAGAATTTTATATTTTGCACTTTTAAAACTGTTTAATTCTCTTATTATAATAATTATATTTTATAATATATTTTTATAATAATTTTGATTCTTTAGGATTTTCCATGTGAACAATCATATTGTATGTAAATAAGAACAGTTTTTTCCTTCCTCTCAAACCTAGTCTTATACCTTACTTCTTTTTATGTTATTATTCCACTGGCTAGGAAGTTGAATATATGTTTGTCACCATATCAAACAAACAACCTCAGATGCTTTGAAGACTCAAATATTAAATGGTAAAATTTTCTTAGATAATAGAGGTGATACAGGGGTAGGAAACATTTTATTCCACAGGATATCAAAACTACTAACCATAAAGGAAAAGACAGATCAATTTTAAAATGAGAACTTCTGGTAATCAAAAGATAGCTTGATGAAAGTGTAAAAAAAGAGCTATAAATAGGAAAAGAGCATATTGTCATACATGCAATTGACAAAAGAGAGTCACTATCTCCTTAGTGGATAAAGAGCTTTTACAATGTTAAAATGGGAAAACAGGCATTTCACAGAAGAAAAGATTCATGACCAGTAACCATATTCTGTGATAATCAGCTTCATCAGTGAGGAAGGAAGTGCAAAATAAGACCATAATGACATAACACATTTTGCTGATTTCATTGATTAAAATTTTACATGTCTAAAGATACCAAGTATTGAGTATGCAGATCAATAAGATTGCCTGTAAACTGCTGATAGTGTAAATTGGTATAACATTGGGAAAATAAGGTATTGTCTTGGAAAGCTGAACACTTACACATTTAATAAATGAGCAATTCAACTTTTTGGTGTATACCCAAGAGAAATAGTTGCATAAGATCAATATGACATAAATAAAAACTTTCACATCATCATAGTTCATAATAGTAAAAATCTGAGAGCAGCCTTAAGAGCTATAGTAATTAAATCATGGCATATTCAAGCAATGAATCACAGAGCAGTGAACTGAATGAGGGGCTTCCCAGGTGGTGCTAGTGGTAAAGAACCTGCTTGTTAATGCAGGAGACATAAAAGATGTGGGTTCAATCTCTGGGTTGGGAAGATCCCCTGGGGAAGGGCATGGCAATCCACTCCAGTATTCTTGCCTGGAGAATCACATGGACAGAGGAGTCTGGCAGGCCATAGTCCATAGGGATGCAGAGTTGGACATGACTGAAATGACTTAGCACGCACACATGTACTGAATCAACCCCATGTAGTAACTAAAATATGAATGAATCTAATGGAAATGAAAAAATATCAAATCCCAAAAGATTGTACACAGCCTAATATTCTTCTACAAAATTAAAAAAACAAGTGAAACTATGTAATATATTGTTAAACATACATATGTATTTCTAAAACCATTAAATATTAAAGGGAATAATTAGTACAAAAGCTGGGATTATATTTGAGATAGGAGAGGCAGGAGAGCAGGATTGGGGGGAGCATATAGATAAAAGCTACTGTCAGAGTTTTACTTTATTGGGTTGCATGGGACACTCTTGAATGTTTATTACTCAAGTTCGTAAATGAAATAATTAATGTCATGTGTGGGATCACTGAAGATTATCATGACCCGAGGATTATAACTAATCTAATTCGGCACACATGAGGTTCTTTTAAATCATATACAACAAGAACACTTATGAGCTGCACTTAATTACTCTGCACAACCTCTCAGGGAGAAGAGTGTAAGGATAAGAGAAGCACTTAAGTGAAAATGCACTGTTGCCCAGATAAATAAGCTCTTTCCCAAGAAAACTATAGATTGTGTCTTTCTTTATCATTGTTACACAGAGATTAGTCAAAATTATCTACTTCCTATTCAGGGGATCACAGAATTTGATATTAATATGGACTGTAGACTTCATCCAACTCTGATGATTAAAAAGATTCTCTGATTATTTTTTAAATAGCTGCTTGAATTATGTGACCTTTTCTTTTAACCTAGCTATTATAATGCTCTTTTCTTAGACTCATCTTCTCTCTCTCTGTTTTTTCAGAGTTTTAGTCTTATGGCAATATATAATTTACATTTCCATTTAAGAATGTGATGATACTACCTTATGGCTTCCCTGATTACTTTATTAATAAGGCTCTGTTGCTGCTGCTGCTAAGTCGCTTCAGTCGTGTCCAACTCTGTGTGACCCCACAGACGGCAGCCCACCAGGCTCCGCTGTCCCTGGGATTCTCCAGGCAATAACACAGGAGTGGGTTGCCATTGCCTTCTCCAATGCATGAAAGTGAAAAGTGAAAGTGAAGTCGTTCAGTCGTGTCCAACTCTTCGTGACCCCATGGACTGCAGCCTACCAGGCTCCTCCATCCATGGGAGTTTCCAGGCAAGAGTACTGGAGTGGGTTGCCATTGCCTTCTCTGAGTAAGGCTCTAGTTTGTATAGTTTCCTGGTTAAAGTATAAGCCTCAGCCCCTTTTTTTCTGAAGCAGCTGTCAGGGCCCTAGGACAGGGCTTCCCAACCTCAGGGATCTAATACATGATGATCTGAGGTGGAGCTGAAGTAATAATAGAAATAAAGTGCACAGTAAATGTAGTGCACTTGAATCATCCCAACAAAACCATCCCCTCCACTCGGGTCTGTGGAAAAATTGCCTTCCATGAAACTGTTCCCTGGTGCCAGAAAGGTTGGGGATGGCTGCCCTAAAGCACTTGTCAAAATCACATTGGTGGGTAGGGGAAGGGGAGGGTTAGGGAAGAAGACAAGGCATAACAGAGAGAGTAAGGGGTGCTGAGGTGGAAAGTTATGAATGAAAAGAATTGAAGCAGAGAGAAAACGGTTGCCTTAAATCACTCAGTTGATTGATTGATTGATTCAAAGGAATACTTGTGGTGGATAGAAATGGGCTAGCCAGAGACCATTTCTCCAGGATTTGGGCAAAATGCGCTTCCTATTTCATCCTGCTGCTCTTCACCAGGTATTTGGGCCCAGAGAGAGAGCCAATTTTTTTTTTCTCTTGTTTTATTTATAGCTAGAAGTTAAAATTTCTTAATGCCTCCCCTCTTTATACCTGAGATTCCACTCCACAGGAGGAATGTCAGGTCACTTCTGACAGAGTTGTTGAGGACTTCTGCTCACCACACAAAAGACCAGTACATCGGGAGGCAAGTTCTTGGGGCAGGAAAAACGACTAATCAGAAAGCCATCAGCCTGAGAAGTCAGGGGACTAATGCCTGAAAGAAACAGCTTTCCCCAGTCAGAGATCTGGTTTCTTTTATACAGAGGATGAGGAAGGGGCGGGCAATCACTGTGATGCTGACCAACCATTGGCCGAGCCTACTGCTAATGGCCCCGCCCTAACGGCCACCCTGGTGGCCCCGCCTTAACGGCTGCACCTCAACGGTTCCTGTGCTAGCCCCGCCCCTAGGCCAGAGTCTCTTCACAGCGAGAAAGGAAGTGGTATCAGGCTTCTTGTTGCCAATGGACGCCAGAAAGATTATCACCGGGTGCTATACTCGGGGTGCTCACGAAGCTCTCAGAGCCACCAGCATCACTGCCAGTGTTGGAAGGAGGGGGCTGTGGCAGGTGAAATATGGGGGAGAAGTGGTAGACAGAAAACAGAACTGTTATGAAATTGTGTAGACAGAACACAATTTTTTTTAAATCTCCCCCACCAAGCCTTTAAATCCCCCCTCCCCCCAAAAGCAGTTCTGTTTAGAGAAAATCCTCTGTCTGTGGAATTCTCCAGGCAAGAATACTGGAGTGGGTTGCCATTCTCTTCTCCAGGGGATCTTCCCAACCCACAGATGGAACCCTGGTCTCCTGCGTTGGCTTCTTTCCCGTCTGAGCCGCCAGGGAAGCTCCAAGAAAAACCCCAGTGCCCCACATTTGTGACAGAATCATCTCCTCGGACAGATGCCAGGAGAAAACGGTGAGATCCAGAATTCCTACCACCAGCAGAATTTTCCGAAATATAAACAGTTTATCAGATGTAAGGCATTTAGAAGAAAAATGCAATTGTTTTCAGAACTTAATTCCAAAAGACTGAAAGAGCCCAAAGTCTGAGCAGAAAACAGTGTCTGCTAACAGCACCAGATCAGGTCAGGCTGTGGGCACAAGAGACCCCTTTCACCAGGAGTTGATGGTGGTGGCGCTTTCTTTTCCCAGGCTGCCCACCCACACCGCTGTGGGTTCCTGGTCGCACCTCATAGTGGGTTCCTGGTCACAGTCAGGAAGCACTCTCCCAAGAATCCACAACTGTTACCAGTGTGTTCCCTCCTCCAAGCACTTTCCCCATGTCTAGTGTTGCCCGCTCCCCATGACCCCAGGGTGAGCCTATTCTTTCCCCTTTAGCCTAAGATTCATCTAAGAAATGTATTACCTAGAATGTTTAATCTTATCATGTAGTCCCTGGAACTTGTTTTCTTTGAACTGTGTCTGAACTGTTGGTTTCTTTGCAGTCTGCCTTTTAATTAGACTCCTACTGTATCTATGAAAGTCCCCCCCTCCCCTCCAAACTGACTAATCAAGTGCACCAGGAAACTGAAATTCCATCATAAAACAGTTACTAATGTGCGGGAGTGGGAGGGGGAGATGACTCAATTGCTGTTTTATTACCCAAATTGACAAAGATCTGTGATGGAGAGTGTGCGCACTGGTGTCGCGTGGCAACACGCTCCTCTAATTAATGAAGTGACAGCCTTATGCTGTGAAATAGCAAAAGGACTTGACAAGACTCATGGCTTTTCTCATTGACTCGAACAGCTGGAATGGTGTTTCCTAATGTTTTCACAAGATTTGGCAGTAATATATTACCCTTGTCACTCTTGAAGAGGAGGGAGGGATGAGTAAATTTTTTCCTCACTGTCATGTAGCCCAACAGGGAGACAGAAATGAGTTCTGACCACCCCACCCCACCTGCCCCACCATCTACCTGCCAGTGCCCACCCCACCCACCATTCACACTACCGTCAAGATATCTCCATTGTCAATCTTGCCTTTTTTGGTATCTTTTCTGGGAGAAAGATGGAGAAATCAACCGGGAACTCACATTAATTTTTCCAGGGAGAAAAAGAAATCAAAACATAAGGCCCTGATGCACAGTTTGCTAATGATTCTGAATGCTTAAACTGAAGGGATCAAAAACAGAAAACTGGGACTTATTGTGAATTAATCACATATGAATAATATTGATGAATATTTTCAGTGACTAAGGACTGTGTCTTTATCAGAAGAAAAGGCATGTGATTTAATCTTTTTTCAGATTTTTTGTTTTTTTTTTGAGTATCTGTTGCCTGGCTACTTCTGTTGTTTGGCCAAATATTTGGGCCTCTGTGTGTTTGATTCTGCTCAGATAAGCAAAGGGGACCAGATGGATTTGAGAACTGTGTCTCTCTTGAGTCTGGAGAGTCCTCTGGAGATCAGATGAAAAACAGCCTGCTCATTTGTGGGATTGCAAAGTTCCAGGAAAACAGGTCACGTGGTACTACAAAGGCAATCATACTTCTGATATTTCAGCTGTTTAATTCTTTTCATATTTCCCCTCCAAATATCCTCTTAAAAAGGGGAGGGGAGCTGTCTTTCTCTTATATGTTTCCTTGCTTGACACAGATAGGTCCAGATTCAGGTCTAAAGCAGGTCTAATCCCAAGGTTACATGTGTGAAGTTTAGTCCTGAAAACTAACACTTTGGGGGAAGGTAAATGATTATAAATGTAAATTTCAACTCCCAGTGGAGCTACTTGTTGGGAAGGATTTCTGGGGTTGGCACAGCTCAGTGGTAATTATCGAGACTTGAACATAGTTTTTGTTTCAAGGGGAAAGACGTTTGGCAGCAGATCCCGCAGTCTCTAAAAGGCCACATCGTTTTTTTCCCAGGGATGCCAAAACCTCTAATTTCCATAGTTAAAATGTTACTGCTCTTCATTCACTCATATCCTGGTCCCCACTGGCTTTGTGGAACAGGTATGGCTTTTTCAGGGTCGCTCTCATCACCGGAAACCACAGAGCCCTCAAACCTGGCAGGATTTCCCTGGGTGCCAATGTATCATTTAGGCCAGTCCATGTCGGATGGCTTTCAACTCTCCACAGCCAAACTCATGTTTCACTTGAAGGGATAAAACAGAGCGATTCAAGCAAATGGTATCTAAGCTTTTTGTACAATTCACAGAAAAGATTCATCACCTTTTTTTTCTTGAGAAGCAACAAAAACAGTATATTTAATCATCAAATATGTGCCAAGTGTTTTGCTAACCAATGTAGAGAGAACCTGAACTGGAAGACACAGCTCTTGACTTTTAAAGGTGTGAGATTCCTTTGGATAATAATACATGTTCAAAACAAGCAGGGTGTGATCCCAAGACTCTACCAGAGCTATCAAAATTGTGTGTGTGAATACACACACACACACACACACACACACACACACACATATTCAGAGAGAATTATAGTGCATTCATTCTTTCAACAAACACTGTGCTGGTATCAAAGGGAAAAGGGGAGGAGGGATAAATTAGGAGTTTGGGATTAACACACTACTATATAAAATAAAAAAATCTATAAAATCTATAAAATACCATATATAAAATAGGGGGCTTCCCAGGTGGCTCAGTGGTAAAGAATAGCCTGCTAATGCAGGAGACTCAGGAGATACGGGATCGATCCTGGATTGGGAAGAATCCCCTGGAGAAAGAAATGGCAACCCACTCCAGTATTCTTGCTTGGGAAATCCTATGGACAGAGGAGCCTGGCAGACTACAGTCCATGGAGTCACAAAAGGGTCAGGCATGACTTAGTGACTAGAACAACAACCACAAAGATGACTGATATACTGTCTTCATCCTCACAGAGCACACAGACAATGCAGAAAACATTAAACACACAGATCATTTTTTAGCAAATATTTATTGAGTAATTATTATCATCCAGGACCTATGCTGTGTGATGGAAATGGAAGACTATGACACTTATTATGGATCTTGCCTTTTATGGAGTTTGCAGTCATGCAGTCATTTATAACAACAATTAAGAATGTTAAGTACACAGGTAAAATGTAAAATCAACTATGTTCAAATCTTGGTTTTTCAATGTACTACCAATAAGTCTAGACACGTTTATTTTTTTTTTCTCTAACATTTTTAATGTGGACTATTTTTGAAGTCTTTATTGAATTTGCTTCAGTATTGTTTCTGTTTTACGCTCTGGTTTTTTGGCCTTGAGGCATGTGGGCTCTTAACTCCCCAACCAGAGGTTGAATCCATTACCCCTTCATTGGAAGGCAAAGTCTTAACCACTGGACCACCAGGGAAGTTCCCTAGGCACATTTCTAAACCCTTCTGAGCCTTGCTTTCTTCTTCTGGAAAATAGGGGTAACAGTACATACCACATACATTTTTGTAGTGATTAAAATAAGGAAAACAAGTACCACAGTTAATTTCAGTGTCTTCAATATCACAGGTGTTCAATTAATAGTGGTTATTTGTGGATAAAAATGAGTTTCTTTTAAAGGCAAGTGACGGTAGTATGTAGGTGGGACAGCCAAGCCAGATGAGGTGTACAGATGACCTGAACTCCACGTGAAGGATGAGAGGAATTAGGGACTTCCCTGGCAGTCCAGTGGTTAAGACTCTATGCATCCACTACAGGGTCTACAGGTTCAATCCCTGGTCAGGAAACTAAGATCCCATTTCCTTCACGCCATGTAGCACAACCAAAAAAAAAAAAAAAAAAGGAGTTAAGGGGAGAAAGAGCAGTTATGCAAAAGCACATAGGTCTGAGGAAGCAGCATGTTGCTCTAGGCCTGGAGGATAGAGTGCCCAGGGTGGGGAAAGTAGTGGTGAAGAATTAGCTTGAATAGGAAAGCCAAGATCTGACCATGAGGGCCTCGAATGTCTTAGTAAGAAGAGTGAATTTGTATACTGAAGACAAGGAGAAATTGTTGGATAGTAATTAGAGGAACATTTCTTGAAGGAAAAGTTGCTTGAACTAAGCACTGATTGATGGGCAGGATTCAAACTGATGGAAACAGAGGCCTGGGGAACAGGGAGGGGAGAAGCAGGAATACAGATCTCAGGGGTAGAAGTGAGCTCAACACTTAGAGGCCTCATTCAGCTGCTGCGTGCTTCCGAGCAACCTTAGGAGACTGTCTAAACTGATGATTCCAGATGGGGTTTAGGGTTAGGGCAACCAAGTGTGGATGGCATAAATCCTAGTATATTACCTTCTTTCGATTGTTTATAGTCACATGGCCGTCTACCTTTAGGTTCTTTCTCTTATTTTTGGAAATAGGGAATATGATCCCTTTCTCATGATTATCATATAGAGATGTTCCATATTTGCCTTC